AGAGGACCTTTCCGGTTTCATGTTAAATGTGTAGTTTTCTCGATAGAACTATAGGGGACATTTCATTTGATTAGGAGCATTCTTCTTCAAAAACGGATAGTGTACAGACATTATTCTGCACCAGATATTCTAGTTTTTATGGATAATATGTTAATTACTGAAAAGCATGGCTGAACAGCATCGGGTAGGGTTTCTCAACATTTTTAAATAATGCAGCACAAATAAAAATATTACGGCACACTTAGCAACATTTTTAAAGGATATACATTTAAATGTCCTGAAATAAAACCTTAGATTTAAAAAAAAATACACACGCCAAATACGAAATTTATTTCAATGTTTTTATTGAACTTTTTGTGCAGCTTATTTAGTGTGAAACCTTGTGTTTTCTCGTGATTTCTTCAATGTATGGTCAAATGTGCGATAAGCAAACTACCACTTCTTCATCAGTGGAGTGTAGTCTTTATCGTTTCTTATTTTTGGATGTTATTTGGTTGAGAAGCTTAATTCACATAAATGAAGTAAAAAATATGAAGTAAAAAAATTAAACTGATAAAAAAATTAGCTAATATGGGACAAAAAATTCAACACTTATTCATTTTTTCAAATTTTTTTTTTTTTTTGTGGCACACTTAAGAGGATGGCACGGCACTCTATTGTGCCGCGACACGGCGGTTGAGAATCACTACCCTGGGGGGTAACATTTGTCAAGGTGTTAACCACAAATTCTTGTTGGAATTTTGGGATGATTCGATGAATGTAGAAGTTCCTTTCAACAAAAATGTCATCTGAAAGAATTAGTGAATTGAAAGAATAATTCGCCAGAAAATTTAGAAAACCTTGTAATGCTTTTTCTTCAACTAATAAATAACAATTGTTCTTCTTTAATGTGCCGTGTCCCTTCAGGGTGGGAGTGATTCTGATTCTCTACAGTTATCGTTTGTAGCTGTAAGCAATGTTTGTCGCCTTACTATAACTGACATTTATTTACATGTTGAAGATTGTTAGGTATGTTACATGATGTTTTCCTTTACTTCTCTTGCCTTCAATAATATATCATGAGCGTGTCATGTTCGCCAACTCCTCTTTCCTCATTATGTATCCCAGAAATTACAACTGTCACATTCTAAATAAACGTTCTATTTGTTTCCATTTTCTTTAAAACCTTATCGGTGCACACAGGTTTAGTCTATGCTATTCTCTGCATCCTTCTGTAAAATTATATTTTTGTTGCCTCAAAATTCGCCTGCGTCTGTGAGGAAGCTGACTATTATTCAGCACCATAAGAGGATTGATATTACATCGAGTTTCAGCTTTCTTTTCTTTCTTAAGTGGAACCTCTCCATGTTCTTTAGCGTCTTTAATTGGAAAACTTCAAACTAATTACAATGATGCCCCCGGAAAACAAACCAGATTAAAATTACACAATGTTAAAACCAGTTTATAGATATTTTAGAATGTCTTTTGTATTTTACGCAGTTCATTAAGCCAGTTTGTAAATATGTTCGTATATTTAGAACAAAGCATCTATCCACCGCTAGGACAAAAACACATGCAAAATGAGAATACTTTTTAAAAGTACGTTTTTTAGAGATAAAAATATTTATTCGTTAGATATTTGTTACGGTGACGAAAAACAAAGAATTAAAACAAAGTGAAATATTGTTGGAAACAAAGAAAAGATTAGCGAACTGCCATGTAATATCTAATCTCCTCTTTGGCATTGAATGGTGGACTATTTCCTCAAAGATGTAGAAGAGACTTGAAGCGACAGAATGTGACTTCACAGATAGATCCTGAGAATACCATAGACAGAACATGTGACAAACGATGAAGTCTTAAGAAAAATAACAATAAAACGGAAAATTATTATTATAATCAAAAATATATAAAACTTCTGCGGCACACCATGAGGAAAGAGGGCATAGAGAATTTAAAACTTGTAGGAGATACTGAAATAAGCAGATGCAGGGAAAACAGCAAATTACCTAATTAATGAGCTGTATGGATGTGTGAACCATGAATGACTACATCTTGAAAGGTTTTGACACATAAAAATAGATCATTGGAACAAGAATCGGCACCATTATTAATTTTGGACTAGTCTTTGTTTCAAGTCGAAAGTCATAGGAGTGTATATATATATATATATATATATATATATATATATATATATATATATATAGTAAGCATAGTTTGGCACAAGGCCACAATAATGGAGCCCTCAGTGAGGATCAAACTCACTACTCATTAAACATGATCAACCAAACTATCTCACTAATTATTGCCCCGCGTCGACGCAAGGCTGACAGTCTCAGTAGTTGCGATAGAAAATAAAATATAATGATGAAAAAATACTCGTGAGAAATTAATAATAATCTCAATGCGACAATCACACTTTTTGTGTCAAAGAGGATGGACACACGTATGTGTCAAAGAGAATGGATATATACGTATGTGTCAAAGAGAATGGACACAGGCACGAGTCAAAGAGCATGGACACACGTATGTGTCAAAGAGGATGGACATATATGTATGTGTCAAAGAGAATGGACATATACGTATGTGTCAAAGAGGATGGACACACGCACGTGTCAAAGAGCATGGACTCATATATGTGTCAAAGAGGATGGACATATATGTATGTGTCAAAGAGAATGGACATATACTTATGTGTCAAAGAGAATGGACACACGCACGTGTCAAAGAGCATGGACACATGTATGTGTCAAAGAGGATGAACATATATGTATGTGTCAAAGAGAATGGACACACGCACGTGTCAAAGAGCATGGACACATGTATGTGTCAAAGAGATGAACATATATGTATGTGTCAAAGAGAATGGACACACGCACGTGTCAAAGAAGACGGACATACGTATGCATTCTTTTTTCTATTTAATGCATATGTAGAAGCTGTGTCCCCAACATTATTTAGCTTCAAGAGAACAATTTTGGGAAGTGCAATAAGGCAGCGTAGTTTCCATTTTTTAATTCTATGTTGTTTTCTTTTCAATGCTGGTGTAGATGTCATGTGGTTCCTTTTATGGCATTGGCATTTATGTATCCGAAAACCTGCAGGAACCGGTCGGATCTCCCACATCACTTGAAAACCTACCAATAAGCTGAACTGACTTTACAAAAGAAGCCAGAACAAAACTGTACAGAACCCATTTAGTTTGCCACATCTGCAATAAGCTTTGCAAGTCATCGAACAAACTTGCCAGCTATGGTCATACTCGTTTAACGTGTCGACAGAAATCATGAATGTTTGAATCAGTTTTCTTGTGTGGGCATCATGTTTTTACCTCAGTGTGTGCTTTATTCGTGATCACAGGATGAATAAATATTTTTATATTAGTGTAGTTGAATCGTATGAATCGATTGAAAGTCTATAATGTATGGAGAATTGTGGAAGTGAAAGGTTACAGTATTTGAAAATATTTGGATCTTATATTTATTAAGTATATTTCCAATACTGGTGATATAAAAAAGTGCGTCTGATGGGTACTTTTTGTGTGAATTATTTATTAATTATTTATTAATATTCCTTCTTGATATTTTCTCCGTAATGAGTTCTGTTCATTTTCTTCTTCCTTTACTAAAATAGCGGTTGGGAAATCTAATTAATAGACTCTTTTATTTCTATGTGTTACTAAGTAATTTAATGGGTTATCCCAACTCTAGAGAGAGAGAGAGAGAGAGAGAGAGAGAGAGAAAGTGAGAGAGAGAGAGAGAGAGAGCGTGTGTGTGTATCTATGTGTATGACAATGTAGACATAGAAATCCCTATTGCTTGGAGATTTAAGGCGTGAAATTAACAGTCACCGTGCAGTGTTGATTCGCATGTCCACTCTGAAGGTATCTATAAACGCTCTTTCTTCGATACTGACCACTCTTCCTTATAAATATATCAAATATTAAATACACACACATATACACATATGAATATTCAAGTATGTTTCATTGAATAATATAGACATATTATGTCTATTTATTTTTATAATAATCCTTCCTGGTTCTCTAATTAGCTTCTCGATGTTAAGTTGAAATTCATGTAAACACAAAAGCAACCATAGCTACAACGGATAAATTGAAAATGTTAAAATAATTATAACAGAGTGCGTTCACACATATTTGCCAAAAATCACCAACAGAACGATCACAATTACAATAAGTTTCTCTTCGCAATTCACTTGTGGGGATGATCTCAAAGGTCATCAAAAGTACTTGGGTAGAGAAAAACTACGGCAACTTCCTTGATGAATTTCAACTTAACATCAAGAAGCTAATTAAAAGAACTAGAAATGACTATTAAAAAACAGACATAATATCATTCAATGAAAACATGCATGAGTAAATTTACATATAATCTGTACGACATTTAATTTGTAATTAGATTCCCAAATTGTCTGTAACGTATCGAATCGACAAATAGATATTTTTATAATGAACTAGCTTTTACTTATTGAGATAAAATGTAAGACACAAACGAAAATCTCAATTCCTTCGGCATTCATCCAACAAATAAGGAAATAATAAATATATATATATATATATATTAATTTTTTCGATAAATGTAGTTGTAGATTTATTGAAAGTTGTTTTGAATTGGGTTTTGTGTCTTTTTTTTTTATATAAATTCCATTTCGTCCATCAGCTTCGCAATTGTGAGCTTAGAAAGCGAAGATAATTAGATAGAAAAAGACTGTGTGTGAGAGAGAGGGAGTGAGAGGGAAAGTCTGGGTAAAAATTCGGCCATGCCAGAAAGCGGAATACTTCAGGTGACTTTGAGCAACATCTCTCCAACAGTGCCAACCACCTGTCGGCTAATCCTCTTTGTCAATTGTTGAGTAAAAACCGATTTCTTTATCCTCTTCAACACAGTTTTTGCCCGCTTTTCGCTCTTCATCCCAGCACGTCACTTTGACGTTTTTCGCCTCATTTTTGCAATGATTTCCCCACCACCGTTTTTTTAAGTTTTTGTACGCAATTCCAGATTGCCTTGGCTTCCCATTTCTTCCTTCACGCCCATTTTCCCTTTCTTTTGTTCTGTACTTCCTTCATTCCCTCATTCATTTCTTCTTTCTTTCTTTTTTTCTTTCTTTCTTTCTTTCTTTCTTTCTTTCTTTCTTTCGTTATTGCATGCTTTTTGCGTGTTTATTAGTATATTTCTTGCTTTCTTTCTTCCTTTCTTGATTTTACTTTTGTTCTTTGCTTTTTTCTTACATTTTCTTTCTTTTTTCCCTTTTTTCCTTCCTTTTTTCTTCCTTGAATTGTCTTTCTTTCTTTTTCTTTCTTGCTTTCTTCTTTCTTTCGTTCGTTCTTTCTTTCTTTTGTAATTCACTCCCTTTCCTCTATGCGTATTTGTATTTAATTCATTTTATTTCATTCCTTACTCTCTATTTCCTTAATATTAACTCTGTGTGTGTGTGTGTATTCAAAGGTCACCAGCTCTATATTTCTTAAACTAGAAACTGGAAACCGGTTTCGGGCTAGAAACTTTTGCACACATCTAACTTTTCTTTATTTGTTATCTCATTATTTTTATCCGTATTACGTTTTTTTTCTTTCATCTTATTTCTTTGATTTTTATCTAATCTCTAATCTGATTCCTCGTCTCTTTTTGTTCTCTGTAAAGTTCTTTTTTTCCGTTTTTCTTTTCTCTTTATTTTCCCTCATCCTGGCTTAATGGTTGGCATAATGGTTAGTGGTCTCAGAATTCGGTTCTTACTGAGTGACTTCTTCTTGTGTCAAAGCTACACAATTTCTTATTCGAAAGCCTTGGTATCACATTTTTGTTTTCGGAATAGCAGTACAGCTGCCGAATTTAGGGTAAGCGTTTTAAATCGATCATTACCCTCATGAGAATTTATAGTTCTTTTTAAATGTTTTATAAATTTTAAAGTGAACAAAAGTCAACAAAAAATTAAAACTTAAACAAAATATCCATGAGCAGTAAAGACAAGTCTGACTAATGGAAACAGTGAAACACATCTGTGAGCAAATGGCGGACTCAGTTTGAAAATATTGGTTGCCAGGAGACAAAGGAAACACAAACCCATAACTATAATGCTATCATTTAATTTTCATAATGAATAAATAAGATTTTCAAAAAATGTATATGCTTAAAACGGCACAGTTAAATTGTTTGTGGAAAAATGCGTATTTCTTACTAATTACAGTTTATATATATTGCACATATTACTAGCAGTAAATGTAAATAGTGAATGTTATACCTGAATGTCTTTAAATTTATTTTTATAGTTTTAATTAGTTGATATGTTTAAATAGTCTACTGCACAATTTACACATTAACAGTTAATTCAAAAGCACAATAAAGGATTGCACGCAGTTCACTATATTAAGAGCAATCGTTTGTGTTCTCTGGCTGATTGTGCAAATCTGCCAATAATTGCTTCTGCATCCAATTCATCTCACAATTCCTTTTCAAGGGATAACAACAGTGAATTTCTTAACCTTGTCTTTATGATCTTTAGCCTGGAAAATTTCCTCTCAAATTAGACTTGAGTAACATAATATGCAGATGACTTTATAAAGTTCTTATTCCTTTATATTACTAAAACGGTTATCTGTGTTGTTTCTTTATTGCATTTTATTTGATATAGAAGTCTCACACCATCAGAGGTCGACTTGCTATAGGGAATGCTGAAACCCTGGTCAGTCCGTCACTGGCTATGAGATGTTGGTTGAGTCAAAGGTAGTCTTGAAATGATAACTTCTTGTGTGATCTACAAGACTTGGTGAACTTTGGTGTGTAAACAAAATATATTTCTTCTTCTTCTTCTTCTTCTTCTTCTTCTTCTTCTTCTTCTTCTTCCTCTTCCCCTCTTCCTCTTCTTCGTGTGATTAAGGGAATTTTAAGTGCTCACTGAAATAAATAATATTATAAATTTTTGACTCATATTTCTTTCATCTCATTTTTGTTGGTTTTTAGCACAATTAACAGACAGTCATTCTACAGTTGTAAGCAGTGCAGATTTAGTTTCGTGAAATATACGAACAGGTATCCACTTGCCTACCTGTCCAGAAAAGCGGCCTTACTGATTAGACCATGAAAACTATTGGTTATGGAATTTCAAATCTCGCTATATAGCTTTCATTCTTTGTCTTCCCCGAAATGTTATGTTCATAAACTATCAGTATTATTATTATTACTATTATTATTATTATTATTATTATTATTATTATTATTATTATATGAATCATTTTCAGTGATTGAGATGAAAGAAATAAAGGCCAATGATAAATAATAATTGACAATACTTCTGCAATTGATAATCTTCGTGTTTTGCTCAGCAAGGCAGCAGTTCTGATCAGGTAGGCTCCCCAAAGGAAAAGGGTACGGGTTCTAATTTTGATCGAGGTTTATTCTTTATTATCGATTCTCTCTAATAATTAACGGTAGTAGAATAACGATCAGTTGCAATAAAATAAAATAAAAACATAAATAAAATAAAAAACATAAATAAAATGAAAAAAATACTCGTGAAATTTGACAATGTCTCAACTCATTACAAAAATTACAATAGCATCATTTACATTATTTATATCTAAACGATTGTAACCGAAAATAATTAAGCTTTTAAAAATATTATTTTTTTAAATTTTCACTAATGTTTACCCAATACAAGACCAAAGAGTCACCCAAGCTAGAGTTTTACTGAAACAGGTGTGCGATATGAGCGCAAGAGTGGAAAATAGGAAGTAAAGATTAGAAAGGATAGGGTGGATGGATAACGATTGACCTTAGACATGAAAGGGTTTAGACTGCAGTGTTCGAGGATGCGTCTACACAGGACTCTGTTCCTGGGAAGAAACTTTCAGGGGGGGGTGAACTTCCTAAGAAAGGAATACGTAAAGAATGAGTTGGGTTCAACTATGTGATCGTCACAAGTGGGGGGGGGTCAAAATCTAATAGTCATATAATAATAATAAAATAGTAATACATAATATGATTTTCTCAGAAACATTTAAAACGACGGCTAAAATAACATCAAAGCTTTTCCCAACGCCAGCCAGAAATTGCTTTGAGTCGACCTCCTTAACCTCCTTAAAATGTTGGAGAGTCATGAAGTAAACAAAAGAAGTCTTCCACATTAGCTTTTCTTAATCATTTCTCCCAAGCAAGGTAATAAATTCACTAAGACGCGAGGTGTTATTGGTTATGAGAGAATAAAGAGAAAAATGAAAAGCTTTAAGGAGAGGGAACAACGAAAGAACAGAAATTAGGAAAGCAAAATATAACGATTGACATTGGATTTAAATTTTTAAAAATCAAAGTTGATTGAAAAGCAAGAGAGACCAGAAGAGAGTTCAACAAGTGAGAGAAGAAAATGTTAACTTACGCTTACATCTCAACTGTAAAATGATGAGACCTAGCGGACAATCTAGTACTGTGCTTAAATTCTTAAAGTCGACGGACCCAAGAGGAAAGCTCATCAGAACAATTACCATGAAAATATTTATAGAAAAGACAGAGGAAATTTACCTTATTGCATTGTGAAAATGAGTGATGCTGAGATGCCAGGTTAGGACCAATAACATTACAGATTCTTCTTTGGATTTTATCAAGTATCTCTAAATGCATAGCAGAAGCACCAGACCGGATGTGACAGCAATATTCAATATATGGACGAATAGTAAACATAAATGTATAAGATATATTCTATTAAATGTAATTCTAGACCTTACCATACTGGTTAGAACTGATTTGGGGTTATTTGAATATGTTGATAGATTAGTTATTGCATTGATGATCGATTATTAGATAAGCGTATCATAAAAGGATCAATTTTCAACAAATAGAATACGCATTGTAATAAACATGGTCTATGGTAAAATGTAATTGGCAGAAATGCCCAACAAACCGAATTGACAAAGTTTGCGATAAACAATAACATTCAGTCAGTCATGTGTTATGCATGATACACGCTTAAGCGATCATGTAGCTTTCGATACATGACTGACAAGGCAGATTTTTTCCCAGAGTAGGTTGCCATTTCTGCAGTAGACCAGTTGCCATCCAAGGCTATGGAACCCGGTCTGTCCTGCTATTTATCCATAGCTGGTGGGAGAAGATTCATACCTTTTCCCAAGTGTATTAGCACGTAAGTGAATGTAATGGATTTGACTGGAATTCGAACTCGGCTCTCCGATTCCTCAATCAGAGCCGTTATCCATTACTCCACTGCAGGGAAAGAAAGGAACAGAGTAAAAATAATATTGAGCAAGCAATATGCCGTAGGAATAACTGAAAAAAAAAACCTTGAGTTATTCAGCTAGAAAGAGAACAGGTTAAAATCATTTTGTATCAGCCACACTGTCTTCCAAATGAACAGTGGTGGGAGGAAAAGGTCATTCAAGCCTTAAGTAATGGTACCAATTTCATACTCTGGCTTCCATCTTCTAAGTCCATTCAAGAACCATCAAGAGAATGGGGAATAAGTTTAAAAAAGAGGGAACCGTAAAGAGGAAATTGGACGAAGAGGTTACAACAGGAAGAGGGATCATCGTTTCAACTGAGAGCAAAAGAGATCAATTAGAAAAAATCCAACTCAATCCATAAGACGTGAGACGTGAGTTTCAGTTATGACAGTTCAAAGAACACTGAAAATAAGTCTTGAAATTGAAATCGTACGTGAAACCTGTTACGCCAGGACAAAAAGTTAGAAGGTTAGAGAGGGCGAATATCATCTTGAATAAGTTGGAAAATCATCCTGGAATAATATATATATATATATATATATATATATATATATATATATATATATATATATTGATTTCAATCTTCATAAGCTTCCAATCCTTAGCTATGATTAATTAATGATGAACATGTCATTTTTTACACTATTTACATTGTTCGGACTATTGTCCTCATCTTTGTTACCATATTTATTACAACGTTTCGGCCGTTGTATACTTCCGCCTTCTTCAGGTGGTTGGAATGTCGAACTGAACCCTTTATTTCGCTCACTGTGGTAGACAGTTCTAGTTCCACGTGCCATGTCTAATGGATGTCAGTTATCAGTTATCTCCTGCTTAATTCCCTCCAAGTTCTCCACTGCCGTAACCAGGCATTGAACTCACACCCTTTGGGTCCTGTCACTGGATCTAACTAACGCCTTTATCCATTGTGCCATGTGTCTTTAAGGAGCGAAATAATGGGTTCAGTGAGCGAAATAAATGGTTCAGTTCGACATTCCAACCATTTGAAGAAGGCCGGTGGATAAAACAGCCGAAACGTTGTAATAAATATGGCGACAAAGATTAGGACAATAGTCGGAATAATGTAAATAATGAACATAATACCTCATCTCAG